CCCCTCCCCCCCCCGAAAGGATGTGGACAAATGGAGACCAGCAGAAGGCAACAAAATAGGGGGCTGGGGCACACAACTTGTGAGGAGAGGATGAGGGAACTGGGTTTATTTAGTCTGCAGCAGAGAAGCTAGAGGGGACTGAACAGCAGCCTCCAACTCTCTGCAGGGTGGTTCCAAGGAGGCTGGAGCTGGGCTGTTCTCAGTGGGGGCAGATGACAGAACAAGGAGCAACTGTCTCCAGCTGCAGTAAGGGAAATTTAGGTTGGATATTAGGAAAACTCTCTCATGAGGGTAGTAAAGCACTGGAACAGGCTCCCCAGATGGAGAGTCCACAACCTTTCCTTGGAGGTTTTTAAGGCCCCGGGAAGACAAAGCCTTGGCTGGGATGAGATAGTGGGGGCTGGACTAGATGTGACCTGTGGAGGTCCCTTACAACCCTCATTTTCTATGATTCTAACTACAGACACTTCACAGCCATCACAAAAGCCAGGGAGCTTAGTAACAAACTAAGGCTTTATACTGTTTCACAAACTAACCAGCTTGTTTAGTTTCAAGTCTCTCAATCAAGCAGAAACTATAAATGTTTTTTGACTGCATGGAAGCCTGACATACGCTATCCCGATGGAAGGGGAAATAACCCACATGTAGCATAAACACCCCATTTTCCAGCCAGTGGTAAGTAATTTGGAAAGACCTTCTTGGGAATAGGGCTCTAACAGTGGAGGGCAGGACAAAAAGTGGTAAGAGTAATTTAAGAGAGAGAGAAACCTAGAGCAGTGAAACCATTTCCAGTATCTTCTAGATACTCTCAGAATTAGAGTGACTGACCCATTCTCTATGAAAATAAGACTTATTTACAAACTTTTCCAGCCTGTCAAGCCCAGAGATGTGCTCCTGTGACTACAGAAGCTGTTGTGCCCAGAGGACTCTGAAATTCCAGGACGTCTTTTAATTTTTTCCCCACTGTAACCATACTTCTCAGTCAGGAAAACATAGCTCTGAATTAAACCACTATGTAACAGCAAACTGTTTATACACTTTAAAAGGATGCTGCTCTTCAGGGCCAAAAATCCCCTCCCTCCTTAAGCCAGTATTATTTTAACTCTAACATTTTTCAGTGCTCTTCAAAAGACCAAACCTGTAAGTACCCCTACAATTATGATCTAGCGCATCTAACCTGCCACTCATGGCCAATCCTACACATTGAAACTATACAACAGGAACAGAATTATCTTCCAAAAAACATTTCAGGATCTCGAGCAATTGCAAATGAAAGCACAAAACGGAGTGCTTATAAGCCAGTGTACTTTGTTCCTGGAAGTTTCTTGGGTGCGCACAGAACTGTTTGGTATACAGAGATGCAAGATCTACAAGTAAAATTTTCCTGACTGGCTGATCTCACTCTTCCCTTGCCCCTGCGACTAAAATTGAACTATTGCCCCAGTTGCTCATCAAAAGGCACAACACTATTGGAGATGGCATCTTAAAGACAAGAACTTCGTGTGTGAAGAAAATTGTGTAAGCTCCAATGGAAAGGTGGTGAAACCACTCATTGACCAGTCTTGTACAGACACCCTTTTATCATCAGGTGTTTCATTATTGAATGCATTCAGATGAGCGAACATCAAGCAGCACACAGCTGGGGCTCATTTATAATTAGAGCACAGCTTTAACACACCAGGAGTAAAGAGGGAGGAGAAGCCAATATCCATGCATGAAGCAGTTGTGAAAACAAGTGCGTGTATTCCTGTCAAGAGAGATGCATTTGAAGTAAGAGATCCCTGAATTAGGTAGACAGAGCCCTGCAGCTCTAGGAGCACAGCCATGAGTGAAGATCTCACCATCAGCTGCCTCTGGAACATGCACGGATTGTTAGCTTGCACTGATTCACCGAGAGGGAAGATCTGCAGCGTCAGCAGATGTTTTTTGCCGTCCTTTCCCCCCTCTCGCCATGTTCTCTGGCAGGGCCAAGATTTTGATGAAGTAGGACAGCTTTCTTCAGCCCAACCTGATTTCCTTTTGCATGGCTGAACGACAACACACACAAAGAGCACGTGCAGGGCAAATGTTTCTACCGAGGCAGCAAAAGGCCCCAGTCCACCTCCCAATATGTTGCCTGTGCTGCATTCACAACAACAGCACTTTGTTTCCACGCTTGCTCTAGAAACCCAGGCCTCAACAGAGCTCACAGTAACTGGTTAACTGAGCCAGAGCAGATTTCCATCTTTTCTTCGGGTGGAGCAATTGGATTACCATCTGTTTGAATCTATTCTGGGAGATTTCCAGAATGCCAACGTGCTCACATGCTTGTATCAGTTATGGATTACTGTGCATAGACTTCACATCAGGAAGGCAACTGCACATTACTATTACATTTTAAAAACCCGCTGGACGATTGGTACAAATTGGATTCAACATCTGATACTCATTTTAATGAATGTCCTATCTTTTATCTGCTGGGTGACCCTCAGCAGTCTCTGGTCGGTTTATATCCCATTCCTGAAGACCCCAGGGCAATCCTGGAGGGTTGGCAACCCTGTGGAGCAAGCACCTTGGCAGGACCCACCCAGCGCTGCACGGAGCTAGGGAGTTTCTTTGCACAGGACTCTGAAAGCTTGCAAGGCAGACACAGGAGCTTGCTTCCCTGCAGCAAGCAGATGCAAGTCAAGCCTGTCCCGAGGCTGCTGCAACCACTGGGGCACCTCAGGTGCTGGGGATCACTGGCGATTCTTCGGGGAAAGCAACCCGTTGACACCCATCTCCTCCATGTATGGGCAGCCGTTGGCTCACAGGGTTTACATGGTACCACAGAGCAAGAGGCTTGGCCTGACAGGAAGCAGGCATTCAAATGTGTCCTGCCCTTTCCCTGTGCAAAGGCCATGACCCCAGCAAGGGTCTTTAGGGTCAGGTAGAGCTTCTGCAACAACTGCAGGGAGCAGGGGAAGGGGACTAATCCTTGCCTTACAGTAGGGAGCTAGACAGGCTCCCCGAGCCGCCTAGAAGCCCTCCGCAGCCAACCCGAGCCATGGCTAGCCTGCGGTCTGACCGCGCTCTCCACTGACACCACCTTTTATAGGCCCCGAGCCGCGTCTCGCGCACAAGCCACGAAGCCACCCCGTGAGGAGCAGCTTGCACCTGCGCAGAAACCCGTGAACCACGTGGGGTGGAGCGGAGAGCACATGCGCAGAAGTCCATGAAAAAAGGGAAGAAGGCTCGCACATGCGCAAATGCCTGCGGGGGGGGGGGAATTGGCACATGAGCAAGCGCGAGGCGTCGAGTCCGTGGGCACCCAGAGCGTGCGGCACCTCCCCCGGCGCATGCGCAGAAGCGAGGCGCGCAGCGTCAAGACCGTTGGCGGCGAGCGCGTGCGGCCTGCTTCCCCGGCGGCGCGAGGCGAGGCGGCGCCATGCGGCTGGGCCCCGCGGGCTGGTGTCGCTGGGCGGG